CCTCCTCCCTCCTCCTCCTCCTCCTCCTCCTCCTCCTCCTCCCCCTCCGTCTCCACATCCTCCTCCTCCTCCTCCTCCTCCTCCTCCTTCTCATCCCCCTCGTCCTCTTTGTACTCCTCGTCCACCGTCTTCGCTCTCTCTCTTTCCTGCGCTGGCCCTTGCGGCAAGTCCGTGCCGCGACGACGCTGGCGTTGGTTTTGACACCGCGTTGATCGCTCAACCCTGAACGATCGTGGTTTGCCGACAGGGCGAATCGGTTGATGTCGGCCGATTCGGGGCCACTGGCGTCATGCAACCCTGAACGCCCGCGCCGGGGTCGCCGCCGCGCAGGCACGACACGATCCTGCCGAAATCCAGGAAAGGGGGGGACGCATGCGCGCGCAGAGCATGGCCTGCTCTGCGCACGTGCGCAGTGCAAGTGGAGGACGATGATGACGGCGACGATGACGGCGACAGGGAGGGCCGGAGCGCAGAAGGGCCACCTTTGGCGGGGCTCCCCCTCTTCCTCCGCCTCCTCCTCCTCCTCCATCTCCTCCTCCACCTCCTCCTCCTCCTCTTCCTCCACCCCCTCCTTCTCCACCTCCTCCTCCTTCTCCTCCTCCTCCTCTTCCTCCTCCTCCTCCTCCTCCTCCTCCTCCTCCTCCTCCTCCTCCTCCCACTCTTCGTCCTCCTCCCAGAGCTACCTCCTCTTCCTTCTCCTCCTGCACCCTCCGCCCTCCTTCAACCCGTTTCCTCCTTCCCCTTCTTCTCCTCCGTTCCCTCCTCCCCCGCCTCCTCTCCCCCTTTCGCTCTTCGTTTCCCTCCTCCTCGACTCGCGCAGGGCCGCGACTCCTCCCAGGGGCTTCCGCTCCCTGGGCCGCCGCTCGTGCTGGACAGGCCGCTCTGTACAGCCGGCAAGAGGGCAGATGATGGAGGGAGAGAGACGGGAGGGGATGGAGGGAGGAGGAGGAGGAGGAGGAGGAGGAGGAGGAGGAGGAGGAGGAGAAGAAGGAGGAAGAGGATGCGGAAGAGGAGGAGGAGGAGGAGGCGGAGGAGGAGGAAGAAGAGGAGGAATGGGAGGATGAAGAGGAGGAGGATGAGGAGGTGGAGGAGGAGGAGAAGGAGTGGTGATGATGCTGATGATGATAAAGATGATAATGATGATGATGCCGCTGATGATGATGATGATAATGATCATGATGCTGATGATTATGATGATGATGCTGATGATGATGATGATGATGATGATGATGATGATGATGATGATGATGATGGTACTACTGATGCTGATGATGCTGCTGCTGATGATGATGACGATGATGATGATACTGCTGCTGATGATGATGATGCTGAAGATGCTGGAGCTGCTGACGATGAGGACGACGATGATGATGCTAATGATGATGCTGCTGCTGATGATGATGATGAAGGGGGTGATGATGCTGCTGATGATTAGGCTGTTGCTGCTGATGATGATGATGAGGACTATAGTAACGATGAATATGATGATGATGATGATGATGATGATGAAGGTGACGATGAAAATGATTATGATAATGATGCTGATGATGATGGTGCTGACGATGATGATGCGATGATGATGCATGATGATGATGATGATGATGATGATGATGATGATGATTCTGATTATGATGATGATGATGATGATGACGATGCTGACGATGCTGACGATGACGATGGTGATGATGATGCTGATGATGCTGCAGATGATGATGATGATGATGATGATGATGATGATGATGATGATGATGCTGATGCTGATGCTGATGCTGATGCTGATGCTGATGCTGATGCTGCTGGCTGCTGCTGCGGCTGATGATGATGAGGATGATGATGATGATGATGATGATGATGATGATGATGATCGATGAGGATGATGATGATGATGATGATGATGATGATGATGATGATGATGATGATGATGATGATGATGATGATGATGATGATGATGATGATGATGATGATGATGATGATGATGATGATGATGATGATGATGATGATGATGATGATGATGATGATGATGCGAGGTAAGAGGATACTTCAAGGACGGAAAGATGCCGCTGACGTGGACGAGGACGGAGGGGGGGCAGAGAGGGCAGGGCGGCCAGAGGAACAACAAGCGTCGGCGACCGTCCCGAGAGCCCGAGCAACTCGCGCCGAGGCGTCTGCCCAGGGCAGCTCGGCGAAGCCATGGGCAGCCCTCGACCCGCACCCTCCGCACCTTCCTCGCGGCGGGTGCCCCGCTGCCGCGGCTGCCGCCGCGGCCGCATCTGCGGCCACCGTCGAGGCGGCCGCGGCGGCCGTGGCGGCCGCGGCGGCCGCATCGCGGCGGCCGCATCGCGGCGGCACCTTCCGCGCGGAAGGTGCGGACAATGCAGGTCGAGGCAGGGCCCGCCGGGGCGCTGGCCGCGCCAGCCGCGCCGGCCCCAGGGCGGCTCACAGTGGCCTCCGCCGGCGCGCCGCGCGCCGCGCCAGGAACGCCGCCGCGCCGCTGGCGTCCGCCCCGAGCCGGGCGGCCCGCGCGGCGCAGTGCGCGGCGCGCCGCTCGGCGCGCCGCGCGCCGCGCCCGGGCGGCGGGTCCGAGGGCTCGGCTGCGCGCAGGAGTGGCCTCTGGCAGGGGTGGCCTCTGGCGCGCGGCGTGCGGGTGCCGCGGGGATGCCGACACCCCGGCGCGCAGGCCGGTGCAGGAGGGACCCCTTCCCAGAGGTCTCATATCGTCCAAAGTGGACGCCAGGTTTCGGCGTTCAAAATTTGAACGCCAGGATTTGGACGCCAGACAATCACCAGCTTTGTTTTCTTGGTGTTTATCTATCAAATCTACAAAAAACATCATCCTCACTCCTCATGATATCATCCCCTCCCTTCCGCATCCTCGTCGTCCTCCTCTCCTCCCCCCTCTCTTCCCTTCTGATCCCTTCCCCCAGTCATCCTCCCTTCCTCGACCCCCCTCCTCATCCCGTCCATCTCTTCCCTTCATTATCATTTCCCCTCGCTTTCTCCCTATCGTCCCCCCTCATGCCCTTGTCTTCCTTTCCGCCCTCCCCTCGTCTATATGTTTATCCCTCGATCTCTCTCATTTTCTCTGTATTGGCATGTTGCTATATCTCTCTCTATATATATATATGTATATATGTATATATGTATGTATGTATATATATATATGTATATATGTATCCGTGTCTCTCTCTCTCTCTCTCGTTTTTTGTCTCTCGGTATCAAGCGACGCAGAGAAAAACTCATGCCACGTCGCAGCCAGCGTCCGTTGTGCGACGGGCGTCAGGCACCATGCGTTCGAGGGCGGTCCAGCCCTCCAACACAGTCATCAAGTCGTAAGGGTCGAGCCCCATGTAATCCACACAAGATGTACAAACGGGAAAATCCGAAAGGGCGAGGGAGGGGGAGTGCCCCGCAGGATCTGCGCATATGTGCGACCCACGGCGCCTCCTCGGAGGAAGAAGTGCACGTGCCCGCCGCGGATTCCGAGCGCGGCCTCGGCGCGCGCCAGACCGCGAGGGGCCACCAGGTGCCGCAATGACCGCGAGAGGCTGGGACGGGACGGGCAACGACGGGCAACCGCGGACTACGAAGGGGCAGCGACGGCCGCGAGGTGCCCACGAAAGGTCGCAGGGCCGCGGCGGCGAGCGCTACGGCGGCGGCTGGGCCTCCCCGATGAGGCGAGAGCACACAAAAGCAATCAAACGCACCATAGTTGGAGGCGCGCCCACGGGAGGGTTTCGGTCTAGATCTGACCAGCAGCACGTGGCGTACATCTCTCTCTATATATCTTTATATCTCCCTATACTCGCTCTCGCTCTCTCTCTCTCTCTCTATATATATATATATATATATAAATATAAATATATAGGTGTCTCTCTCTCTACTCTCTCTCTTCCGCGCTTCCGCTATATCGCTCTCTATCTCTCACAGTTTCGATATATGTTTCTATCTCTCTATATCTAGCTATATGTTTATCTGTTTACGTAGTTGTCTCTATCTCTCTCTCTCTTCGATCTCTGTCACCAACCCCCATTTTCGATCAACTAGCTTCCACACTTGCCACTATGCCACGTGCCCCGCAAACGCCGTCCGTTTACCTCCCATTGACTCGCCACTGACCCTCATTGACCTCAAACACCTCCTATGTGCCAACATTGGATCCATTCAGGACCGTCAGTGCAGAACGTGCCCCCAAACACGCGAGAGGGCCTTAGGAGTGGGATGGGGGCATAGAGAAAGGAGAGTGAGTGCGTGGGTTAGTGAGGGATGGAGGTCGGTAGGGACTGAGGGAGTTGCAGGTATAGAGACATGTATACACATATATATATATATGTATATGTATATACATATATATATATATATATGTATATGCTTACACATATATATATATATATATAATACATATATGCACAGTTTTGTATAAACGGTGTATATATGTATATAGATAACGCGAGACATACAAGGTGCAGGGATGACAGGAAGGGAAGGAACGGAGGAGAGAGAGCGAGAGCGAGCGAGAGCGAGAAAGATGGAGAGAGAACGTGCCAACGATAGACAGCCATAGGAGGCGAGCAATGGTGAGTCACAGTTGGTTCGACGAGCATGCGGCACCTTTGGGGCGCGGGGTGGGAGGAATATAGGGGCTGGACGGAAAGGGCGCGCCCTCCCTCCCCATCCATCCCGTGTCCCAAACGTTACCAGATGCCCAGGGGAACCTTTCGAATTTCTGTCAGTGCAGAACGTCGATTGCCAGAACTCCTCGAGAGAGATCGGTGCTCGTTCGCGCAGTCTCGGCTCGCCGCTTCAGGGCGCGCCTTCAGCCATGCCAATTCCTGAAATTCCCTCCCGGGTCAGCCCGTGCCCCGCCCCCCACTCCCGCTCACCGCGTCTGCCCGCTTCTTTCTTCCTCACTCGTTCGTTATCTTCACGCTGACCTCATGCCCATCCCCATGTTTCTCTTACCCTGATCCGAAGCCCATCGTTGGAGACGGATGGCGTTGCGAACAGGCTCGTGCAGCCACGTGTGTTCACACGTGGCTCTAATTTGCGGTGATGTGTTGATTGCTGTCGTGCGCGAGTGGTCGTTGTTTTGTTTGTTGCTGTTGGTGGCTAGCCGTTGCTGATGCTGCTTATAATCGTCGCCACCGCTGCTAGTGCCGATCGTCATCAATCGGACGCGGAGCCGTCAGACTTCGCAGCCACTACAGCCCGTGCTACAGCGTTGCACATCTCTTTGGGGTACTGCTGGCTGGCCTTCTGCTCGGACGTGCCCGTCACCCAGCTCGAGCTCCCGCCCCGCCCGCGTTTGCCATCCTCCTGCATGCTATCATCCTGGCCGTGCTTGCGTTTCTTCTCCTCGCGAATGAAGAGCGGCTTCGTCTCCGACAGCGCCTCGGGGGATGCGCAGAGGCGGAGGGTGAGAGGGCGCGGGGGGGGGGGGGGAGTGGAGAAAGCTGTGATGTGGGAGGGAAGGGGGAGATAGAGGCTGGAGTAAGATGGGAGAGGTGAGAGAGGGGCGACAGGAGAGATGGGGAGGGGAGGCGTGGTACTAGGGGCGGGGGGAGGGATCTGAGATGATCATGGGGATGATGCTGCAATACACCGTCCCATTCCAACCCTCTCGAGAAACACGGCCAGGCCCCGTTTCGAAATTGCCGATAACCTTCACGCGAGCGTCGGCACCCTTCTGCGTCGTGCGGAGAGTGGTAAGGGCATTCTCGGGGAGGGTTGTGTAGATCTCCAGAGGTTTCCTGCTAGGGGCGCCGAACTGGCCAGCGTACGCGATGATCCTGCGAGCGCCAATGGTCTCCAACGCTGCTTTCATGGATGGATGGTGGTACAGGATGGAGTTGATGGGCTGTTCGATGGCCACATCAACGTTCCGTGAGAAGCAGACCACCATCAACCATGACCTTCGGGGGCGTGAGCAGTGAACACCATCAACGGTAGGATCGGAGCGAGAGGAAAAAAGAGGAGGAGCAGGAAGAGGCACGGGACATTGATGAGGGACTCAGAAAATTAGATTGTCGGAGGAGGGGGAGGGACGAGGAGGAGGAGGATGAATATTGCTTGCAGTTTCAACTCATACCCTTTTGCAGTTTAAGTGGACGGTTTATGTGCGTTTGCAGTTTCGCTCATACCCGCGTGGCACACCCTGGCACGACCCACCCACGCCATCTCGCACACCAGCTTGGTTTCGCAACCACCCCTTTTCAACGCAACATGGCAAACATGCTACACGATCATCCAGAGTTTCTCACATGGACCCGGACCCGACACGGAATAATGCGCATGTTGCGTATCACCGGCTTGGCCATTGACCTCCCATTGACCTCCCATTGACCGCAATTGACCGCAGTTGACGTCGGAGGTCAATGGTGGTCAACGGGTGGGCCAACCATTGACCTCCCATTGACCTCCCATTGACCACCATTGACCGCAGTTGACCTCGGAGGTCAATGGTGGTCAATGGGTGAACCCACCATTGACCTCCCATTGACCTCCCATTGACCTCCCATTGACCGCCATTGACCGCAGTTGACATCGGAGGTCAATGGTGGTCAATGGGTGGGCCAACCATTGACCTCACATTGACCTCCCATTGACCGCCATTGACCGCAGTTGACATCGGAGGTCAATGGTGGTCAATGGGTGGACCCACCATTGACCTCCCATTGACCTCCCATTGACCGCCATTGACCGCAGTCGACCTCGGAGGTCAATGGTGGTCAATGGGTGGTCAATGGGGGGTCAATGGAGGGGTCAACGTGCCAAACTTGAGAGCTGACCCCCTCCCATGACACAATCACTGCCAACGTGTTGGCCTCAACCATGTCGCGGCGGTTGGTGTCTCCCATCGGATCCTCAAGGGACCGCTCGGTGTGGTGCCTCGCCATGTTGCCCCACGTAGAGCATTGAGGCGAAAACCATACTGTGCCCTTCGCCACGACCCTGAGGGCGGTCAGCGCACCGTAGAAGAGACCCGCGAGCAGGCACATGTCCTCGAAGATCCTGCACGTGCTGCGATCCATGGCGGTGACATTGTAACTCCACTCCTTCAGTTGCTTCGATATGCCCGCATTGCCAGCAAACACCTCGAAGAAGTCCAAGCCTCGACCCAATTGAGCGCCCATGTCAACCACCTTGTTGATGACTGTAACTCCCCACAGGAACATGTGAGTGTTGATGCCGTGCTGGGTGAAGATTGGCGGGCGCGGGTCGGCGTAATCTTTGGCACAATCGATGGCCCACTTCGCAGCATGCAAATCAGCCTCGCTCATCGGGAGGAACACGCTCCCAACACGAGCGACCATCACAGCAAGCGCCAGCATCATGGCCCTTGCCATTATAGACCAGGCAGGAACGGCTGGTCCGCACCAAAGCCGAAACTATAGCTGTTAAGCTTCAGGCGGCCTTGAATCGCAAACAGCTGGAATACGCGATACTCGAGGTTTACCCGATGAGCAAATTGACACACATCCCCGAGAGGTATGTTCAATCCTTCATCGAGGAAACACGAATAGATACGTGGGTTGCCCTGCCGTCGGCTCCTAAAGGCACATGCGTGTTAGGGCCCGCCAATCCCCCCCCCCCCAGTCCCCCATTTCCTCGAACATGGGGTTGGGGTGGTTTCTTGCGGGGATGGGGGGGTGCAATTTGGGGGCGGTATTCGCGATGTCGAGCAACGGGGAGGAGGAGTGGACAAGGAGGATCAGAGGGGAGGATGGGACAGAGGTACTGGATGTGGAGGGAGGATGAGGGGATGCGAGTGGACCCAGCCCAACTCTCTTTCGCGCGTTCCCTCCCCCCACCCCTCCAGCGTTGCAAGTTGCCGAGGTTGTTGCTGGTTATGTTGCTGCTGCGTGTTTGCCCTGGTGCTTCCCATCCAGGTGATGGTGCCCCCCTTGGTTGCGTCGCCCCCCCCCCCCGCTGTGTTGCACCCCCCCAATGCAGGGTTTGGGCGCCCCGTCTGTCCTGAAGGCCAGGTGCACGGTCAAGTGGCATTTCGGCGTTAAGTGGAGCCCACATTCACGAGCACATACATTGAATAAGCGAGCACATCTAACCAGCGCAGCAGACCCGTTCTCACTCATCACGACACCCTCCCTCTTCATCGTGCCAATCAATTGAACAAGTGCTGAACCAGCTGCCACGAACTCGTTTCCAAACTTGTCTGCCCCCCCCCCATGTTCGTGTAACAGCCATTCGGTAAATCGAACTAGCACGCCAATTTCAGCTGCTTTCGCTTTAATGTTGCCCCCCAGGGTGGGTTGGATTCTCTCGTGCGCACCCCTCCCGCTCACCCAACATCTTCTCTGTTATCGCCCCCACACCTCTGCCAGATTGGATATCGTTTCCATAGCACCACGTTTGCAATTCCCCCGTTATGCGTCGGACCCCATTCTCGACCACCTCCTCAATCGTTGTCCCCCTGCAGCCCCAGGGGTTGTCGCCAGAACTCGCCGCATACCGCTCGTGACCCAGCGCTGGGCTGGTCCGAAATACAGGGTGTGGAGCGAATCGATGCACGGCGTCTCAGCGGGGCTGGTGCCGAGCTCGGTCGAAAACAATGGGCAACGATGATTAATTGAGTCCATCGACGATCCCCCTGCATCTCGGTGAATGCGCCAAAATGTGATCGTAGTGGGCAAGGCTACTATCTCTAACTCTGATATGTCAAGAAGGGTGTCACTCGGTTCGAGTCGGTCTCCAGGCAATAACCGAACCCCCGAAATAAACAATTCGCTAATCACCTCACGCCCTCGAATGTGTTTCCCTTTGCGCCAACCGATCGACCCCAGAACTGCCCGTCTATGATCCTCTGTCTCCAGGCGCACCGCGCGTTCACAATTGACGCATGACGCCTCGTATTCACCCGGCTCCCTCAATAGCCAAGGTAAAGCATCGTCTTCTATCAAATCATCGACAGAATTCAAAAATTCATGAGTCTGGCGACAGAACTGACATGGCTGCCACTGGCTCGCCCAGGAGGCTAGCCCCAGGGTTTTTGAATGCTCGGCCCAGCCCCCCTTTAACCGCCCCCCCTGCACGAGGGATCTAGGGCGTGAGGGCATGCATCCTTCCCCGCAATATCATTATTGACGCTTCGCGTATCCCCACCAGCCCATCCAGAAACGATCAGCAGGGGAGTTGGTGAAGCAGGGGCGGCAGGACGCATGCAGTCGCGCAGTCGTCTTCGAGAAACCAATGCTCACAAATAGCTTCCCGCATTGAAGTTTAAGGTGGAAATCGGTACAAGCTACGATGGTGCTTCGATGTGGGGTGATGGGTGGTTCGATGACTCGTAATGGCTGTTGCACTGATCTGTCTCTTAAACTCGCATGCGTTCGGAAAATTGGAGCCACCTTGGGGCTCTCTTGGGGTTCTCGTAGGACCCTCTTGGGGCCCTCCTGGGGCTCTTTATTGGGGCTCTCTTGAGGTAGCCTTAGGGCATTATTGGGGCACTCGTGGTGCTATTTTGGGGCGTCTTGGGGCCCTCTTGGGGCTCTTTGGGGAGATATGGTGGCCTTCTTGGGACTCTTTTGGGATGTCTGAGGGGCCTCCTGGGGCCGTGTTGGGCCATTTCGCTAAAAAAGAGGGGGGGCCCTCAATCGGACCCCATCATCGGATGCTCAAAAGTGGCGTCGGGGGGCCCTCTTGGCCCGCTGTTGGAGCGCTCGTGGGCGCTCTTGGGGCCCTGTTGCACCCTTCTTGGGGTCATCGTGGACAGTCTTGGGGTGGGGGGAGGGGGGGGGGGCATATTGAGGCCTCGAGAGCTCATCGGAGGCGAAAAAGCGAGAAGGCACAACCATTGTGTTTGTCTAAGTGTTTTGAATGATGCTGGCCTATTGGGCGGGTCCTCGGAAGCCTCGGACAACAATTAAAACCGTCTTGGGGATGTCTTAATGTTTCTGGGGCGTGTGTTGGAGGCTATCCTGACCCATCGACCGCTATATTGGGCCACCTGGTAGGCCATCTTGCGCTCTCTAAAACTATAGTGGGGTCATCATGGGCCATCTTGGGCGCTGCTATGGGTCGGGCCCCCCCCCGTCCAAACGCATGGAGGGGGGAGGTTGACCTCCCAAGCAGGGAACGGAAGGAGGCTGGAAAGGGACACGCCCTAGACCACTTGCGCCCAGAGGGCTGGTGGGATGTTCTCCCCTCCACTTACCTCTTCGTTGCCGCTCTGCTCCTGCCCTACCTTGCTCGTCGTGCACTCATGTTTGTCAGTCGCGCCCTCCTCCGCGCTGTCCCTCTCCTTCCCCTTCTGCGTCGTCGTCCTCCCCTGCGTTTCATCATGTCAGGTTTCATTGCCGCCATCCTATGCCCCTCCGCCCGCCCCCCCTATCTCCTCCGCGCTCGTTGCGCGGGCCCTCAGCGGTGGGGCCTGCGGCGTCGGCGGCGACAGCCGCGGTATCCACGCCAACGCGGCGGTCCAAGAGAACTGCTTTGGCGTGGCGAGAGGATGGTCAGGCGCCCATTGTGTTCCATCGTGAGTGCACTGGGGTCTGCACCCGTCTCTCATGGCTGTAAACATCCATCTGAGCGCGCACAATCCAGGATATAGTGAGCACCACCCTTTGCGCCCGCACATACACTTATCACTGTCCAACTGCACCCCTAGGACGTGCCTGACCCCCGTGAGTAAATTTATCATCCAGTACCCAAGGACTGTATCTGGCCTCCCACTAACAATTGACGTATAGCGTACCCCGTCGACATAGAATCCAATGGGTATGGGTGGGGGTATACCGTTTGCTATGTTATCTAAGACATCACGGTGATCCTTGTAACAGGGCAGGTCCATTATTGATTCCCCCCGCTCTTCCTCAGGAGCTCCTAGCATTCTGAGAATGTTGCTGTTCTGTTGCACCTCCTCGTCGAGAGCTTCAAACGCTGGCCTGAATGGAATGTCTCCATGCTTCCTTTGCGCCTGCCGCAAACGATTCCCAGGCGTGCGCACCATATATAGCACTCCAGGTCCTGGACATACTTTGTCTAGAGCGTTCTGGTACTTGCCTGGTTGTTTCCCTGGCGCCAACGCGTATTCTCCGAATTGCCCTCCTGGCACCCCTGCTTGCTCGCAGTAGTAGCATAATCCTACAAGCCATCTGGGCGTAGGTGGTTTAGAACGGTTCGTCTTCCAACCCTCCATATTCCCCGTCGGGGGAGGGGTGTACCCCTCCCCCTTGTCATTTCCCTTGGACCTGAACGGGCGCGGTCGCGGGCCGTTGGGTCACCCAAAACGGCGTCGGCAAGGAAGCCAGCATCAGTGGTGGCAATGCGGTTATGACCCCATGTTGGCATGTTTTGGGGTTGGGGGGGGGGGGGGGCTTTATAATCCCGCCAGCCTTCTGGGCGCAGGTGGCCCAGGGCGTTTCATTGTCCAACCTCCTGCCTTTCCACGCTTGGGAAGTGCACCCCACCCGTGCGTTTGGACCCGGGGGGGGGGGGGGGCTATAGCAGCGTCCAATATGGCCCACTGAGGCTATGGCCCCAAGAGGGCCTCAGATAGCGCAAGGTGGCCTCCAAGATGGCACATGATAGCTGTCGATTGGTCAAGATCGTTTCCGACGCACATCCAAGATGTCCCAAGACGGCCCCAAAACGGTTTCAAGTGCTGTCCGAGGCGTCCAAGGACCCACCCAGGAGGCCAAATCCGTCAACACCCTTAGGCGCAAACCACTGGTTGTTGCCTTCTCGCTTTTTCGCCTCCGATGAGCGCTCGCGGCCTCAAGATGGCCCCACGACGGTCCACGATATCTCCAAGATGTGCCCCACATGGCCCCACGACGGCCGCACGAGCGCACAAGAGCGTTCCAAGAGCGGGCCAAAAGGACACCATGTCAGCATTGTTGAGCCTCCGATGGGGGGGTCCGACTGAGGGATCCTCATCCTTTTTAGCGAAAGGGCTCAGCACGGCCCCAAGAGGCCCATCAGGCATCCCAAAAGAGCCACAAGAATGCCCCCAGATCCCACAAACGAGCCCCGAGATGGCCCCACGACGCCCCAACATAGCACCACGAGGGCCCCACTAGGGCCCTAGACCTCAAGAGAGCCCCACGAAAGAGCCCCAGGAGGGCCCCAAGATGGTCCTACGAGAACCCCGAGAGGCCCAAGGTGGCTCCAAGTTTCCGAACGCATGTGGGTTTAAGAAACAACTCAGTGCAACAGCCATTGCGAGTCATCGAACCACCCATCACCCCCCATCGAAGCACCAGCGTAGCTTGCACCGATTTCCACCGTAAACTTCAATGCGGGAAGCTAGTTG